AGAGGTAATTCCAATGCTTCAAGCTCATTTATTACAAGTAGTTATAAGTATTTGAAACATTTGTTACAAGTTTTAATGGTTGAAAGATTGGATTACAAAACTCTAGTTCATGGCATGAATAGTACTTTACGGAAAATAAGAGAGAAGATGAATGGTAATCTTGGCGATGAAACTGATGAATACAATGAATCTGTGGAATTATTTGTTAGCAAAAGATGGAAGTGATCAACTAAGTAATCACCCGAATTGTATATTTTGCAAGTGTTGATTATGTAAGACGATGAATAGTAACTTGGTGGCATTGAACAATTGATGTAGTATCATTAATGACTTCGAATGTGTATTAAAATATAAGAATGAAGTTGAATGGTCTAGCATGTAAATCTATTTGGCGATTCGAGTTGTTGGGGGCTTGTAGCCAACTTATGAGCCATATATGGATATTGATCAATATCTTAGGTCACATTTTAATGTAATTAGGATATCTAGTTATAGATATCGACTTGTTGGTGATGTTGAGCATTTTAATCAACATTGGAATGATGGAAGAGGATTGAAAGCTTGTGAATGTTAATACAGCGAAAATGAGGTAAGTTGATTAAAATTTACTGTTCTTGAGGGACTTTCTCCAAAATCATGTTTCGAGTTAATACCTAAGTTGTTTGCAAATGTGCTTTCATGCTTGTGGGGACAAACAAGTACGGATGTCTTCATGTATTAAAATATTATGTTTCATATGTAGTGTCATGCTGTTTTATAAAATTTTATTTTAAATCTTGTTGGCAAAATGACACTCAAGGTAAATGTTATAAGTTTTTATCAAAACTTACGTATTGATAAGAGTATACATATTTGAGTGCTAAGATAAGTTCTCATGGAAAGTATTTCTTTCTAAAATTGATGAGCAGAATAACACTTGTGGTATCTTTTAAAGAATGATGTTAAATTGCTAAAGGCTTTAGCATGTAAAAGGTTGTTTATTTGAATTTTATTCAGATGATTTGAATTTTCTATAAATGCTATGATTTGATAAAAATAGATCCTTTGAGGCTACTATGCTATGAATCTATTTTTGAAGTATCAAATATTTTGGGAGTTACTTGTGTTCACCGAGATTGGCTTTGGATATATCGTGTTCGTTGTCATGAAACTACACATGCCGGTGTAGGCGTCGATGGCAACTTTGTGGTATAGACTACAACAGAGTGCTCTCCCTCGATATGGTACTATTTTGTGCTTTTATTAGCATGGCTGGGTCGATTCGTATGGCACTATGATGAGACGACCTGAGCAAGTAGGGTATATGATACTTGCCGCTAGGTACATTACCTAGTTGATCTTCTTATGTCGGTGATGGTATAGTACTCCTAGTGAAAGGTAAGGATGATTCTCTTATGTTTAGGCCTAAGGAGCCGAAAGTGATTTCAATGACTTAAAGCACATGGAATGATTTTGTATGATTTTATCCAAAATCTTGGATTGATGTAACTATTTTAAAAGTTTATATTGTGGGTTACATTTCACGTGGTTGTTATTTAAAATGACAAGGGTCATGAATTGATATAATTTCTTATCGTTTTATATCAAATATTGGTGCATTATTTTTATAAAGTTTGTCCCAAGAACTTAAGTTAGAGAGAGTCTATGACACTTATTGAGTACTGTTGTGGTGTACTCAGCCCTTAGGGGGGGTCCTTCAGTGTCCCGCTTACTTTACATATTTCGGGATGATGTATGACACGTAGCATGCGGTCAGAGCTAGGATGACTCTCTTTCCGAGGTATTATGAAGCACCACTTTTATTTCGTGGTAGTTATCATGTTATTTCTTATTTGCTTTTGTTGGAATTACTCCAGGTGTTTAATTCTATTCTTTGGTATAAAGGCTCCATAGATAGTTGTGAAATGTTGTAGTAACGAGGTTGTACATGACATACAAGAAAATATATTTATTTTATTTAGTCTCATTGTTATTATCATGACAGGCGTCATGTGTGATTCAAATTGAAAAATATTTTATCATTTAACTTGAAAATGTATATGATTTTCAAGGAGCTTCCGCAGTTAAATTGATTTTCATGCATATATTTTGGGTGCATCATATGGTTTGGTTTGCTCGGGTCGGGTAGTGTGCCGGGTGCCGGTCACGTGGTTTTGGGTCGTGACAGCCAGTGATTGACCAATTATTCCGGACACTTCAAGGTATATATGCTCGATGTTCGCAGGTCTCGGAGTCACCTTCTTCTATTGCTTTACTACTGTTTATCTTCATTTCAAGCAGAGTTATATTTAGAGATTATAAGTGCATTCTCTGTAGAGCTTATGACTCAGTTCCACCAGTTTTTGGGAGATAATTTATAGCTGTACTGTTTGAGTTTTATTATGATAGTTTAATAGTTTAATTTGATATCTAAGTTGTTATTTCTGTTAATTCTCAATATATGTTAGGCTTACCTAGTCTTAGAGGCTAAGTGCCATCACGATATCTTAATGTGGGAATTTGTTTTTTAGGGTGATTTCGGGGTTGTTTCATTGCTGGTTTTGGCCAGCTTTCATGGTGTTTTCATGTCTACGCTGCTGCGTTTTTCAGTTGAGTTTTGGGGACATTTCAGCTGCGTTTTTGGCTAGTTTTTGAGCTGGATTTTGGACTGGTTTGGGTCGTTTTCTGCTGCATTTTTGAGGCTGTTCGGGGCTACTTTTTGGGTGGTTTGGGGTTGTTTTAGGATTGACGTTTTTGGCCTGTTTTTGCTCTATTTTTTAGGCTGAAGTTTGACAGGTTTTTCAAGTGTAATTTTGGAGGTAGTTCAGGTGCCTCTCATGGATGATATTTGCTAGAGTTTTAGATGTGATTCATGGCTTATGAGGGATGTTTAAAGGGCTGGTTTTGAGGTGGGAAGGTGAGCAACTGCTATGAGTTTTTAATGGAAGGTCTATGGTGTTAAAAATGGTGATTTGCAGTAGTTTCCACGGCTGAAAATTGCTGAACTTTTGGTCACCATGGAGATGGGTAAAATGATTTAAAGAAGAAGAAGGAAGCTCTATTTGTACTCACTCTGTCCAAGCTTTTGCCTTCTTTCAGGTGTTCTCCGCCTCTATGTATATAGTATAGAATAGAATATGTGTGTGTTTTTATAAGCCAAAGAAACCCTGAGGGGTAGCTCAACTGGTAAAGGCCCGAGGACAAAGTCCTTCAAGTCGTCAGTTCGAGCTCCTCAGAGCCACTGGAAGCATTACACATAGGGATATAAGGAATGGGGAATTGCAAGAGATAAATGCAGGCTAATGGGCATAACCCAACAATGAGAGATGCTGGCACACCCATAAGCCTACTAGAACATATTGTTTAGAGATTAGGATCCCCTAAGGGATCAAGTTTANAAAAAAATATATATATATATATATATATATATATATATATATATATATATATATATATATATATATATATATATATATATATACGGGTGTGTGTAAATGTGATTGGTGGGGACTAAAGTGTCAGTGAATGAATATTCCTATTATGCCTATCCGGATGAATTGCGCTCCAACATTTGTGCAAAGAAAATGTGATTTGTAGTCCCTGTGGGCCAAAGTTTGTTATCAAAAGAGAGAGAAAGGAATCTTTGCCAAATGGCATTCTTACATTGATTTTTTTTTCTTTTTTGATAATAAATAAAATAAAATCTACACCTACTAAGTCAAAAAAAATAGCAAAGCAAAATTACTGCATACTCAATTTTCATTTGTTAGAAAGCCTCTAACTTAGAAATTGCACTAAACTAAATAAAACTATATTTTTGAAAACTTTTCTTTCTATATAAATGAAGGTAAAACTTATACTAAAAATGTGACTCTTTTTTATCATTTTCAATTTTCTTAAGTAAAATATATATATAAAGGTAAAACAAAAGCTAAAATATGTAAATTAAACTCAAAAGATATTTAAATACTAAAAAGTGAAAAAAAATTCGAATATAATAAAAAATTAGGTGCTCACAAGTATGTCTTACTTATGTCGGAGAATTTGATCTTTCTTGAATTTCATGACCCCTGCATTTATCTTTAAAGTATGCTTTTGTTCTGGAAAGTTGCGTATTTGTTTCTAGGTGTTTATGTGCTTACGGATGAATATATTATAGATCATTGGTTGTATTCTTGGTCATACCTTTTGGTGAGTTTGTTAGATTTTTATTAATCTCATCCATATTGTGCAAGGTTTGAATTTGAAGGCAAATAATTTTAAAGAAAGAGGGAAAGGCTATCATGGATTTGGAGCCAACCTTGCATCCATCCAGAGCTTAGAGTGTTGTAGGGGTTCGTGGAAGGAAGACTAAAATTCAAAGCGTACTTAACTGACTATTTACAAGGAAGACATCAAGACGATTAAACTTCTTTTAGGGACTATGGTTATTTTAGTCATTTTTACTCTTAGTTAAGACCTAGATTTAAATACTTTATTTGGTCTTCATTTTAGATAGGTTGTGTTGTTTAGAGAATCGGCACTCCTTGGCGAGTGTAGGGTTATTCCCTTGTATCTTTTTAATTGAACCTAGCATGAATTTCTCCTTCTATGGATCCTTGTATAAGTTCAATCCCTTTTCTCTTGGATTGAAGCCAATGATTAATATATTTAGTTGTTAGATTATCCCTTCTTTTCTTCTAAAGTCTATTTCCCTCATTTCTATTTCATAATCATATCCTTACTGTTTTATCTTGCTTGTTTGATTATTATTCATTTATTATTGCTTCTTGAATCGCATCACTATTTCTCAAATACATTTCAAATGGTGGCTAAATATTGAAAAGTTGTTCAAAAACTAACCATCCAGGACCATTTTCAAAACGTGATTTTTCTAGTTGTCTTCATCATTAAGATAGTTTATCCTTTTTACATAAATATGTATAAGATAGCTCATCGTCACCGCTGAAATATCATTTCCTTGTGGTATTTGAATTATTCAAGATTAAAGAAAAGGAAGCATTTGGCATTGCTACTTATCGGTGCGCCAACAAACAAATCTTTGCTTGGATGACTTTAATTTACACATTCATGAAATTGTCACTGTCATGATACAAGTTACAACTTATTAAGCACGAGCATGAAAACCACCTCAAAGAAAAAAAATGAGGGGCAAGAACTAGTAACAGGTCTAAAACGTTGTACCTGAATTTGCAAGTTCGTCGGCTAAGCAAATAGTAGCAACGGCAATATTATGCCATAATTTATCAAGAATTTAGAGTTTCTACGGCATCACTGTACAGCTGCTGAAGCATCACAAAGATCAGCTCTTTGTTCAACAAAGGTAGTTGCTTGCACCTTTAAGAGTTTTGATCTCTCAGACTTCACCGTCCTTCCGTGGAGACAACATCATTCTTTCCTGTACAAACTGTCTCCTGCTTAGAACCATGGTCATGGCTGTGCTCATGTGAGATTTACTTCAATGGTATCTCTGCAGACTGCAAAGTGACCTGCCCAGCAGCAGCTTGCTCGTATTCAGCACTGGCCTCCGGAGTGTCTTCTTCACTGGGTGGAACCAATTGCCAAAACAGTAGCAAATATTTGTCCCACTCCTTGAGAATAGCTGAGCCTTTAGTGCTGCCAGTTTTTTCCTAGGTATAATGAATATAAATCTATTAGAAAAAGACTACTTCGACCACTCGACAAACTGCCCATAGAAGCAGAGAAGAAAAATAGGGAAAAAGGGGAAACTAGAAATTAGCCATCATCCTAAAACTAATCAATATTTAGCCACTGTATAATTAGTTGGACAAAAATTAAACCTACACTTCATCTTTTCCCCATCTTTCTGTACGCTTCTTCTTCTTTGCATTAGTTGCAGGAAAGAGAAACAAATTGAACAGCTTCAAGCTTTATGTTCTTTGGTTCAAGCTAACCCACAGATTTTAAAAGCAAGTAGTGCTCTCTGAAATCCTCTTTGGTCAGTTATTATTGTCATTGTCTAAACGTGCAAGTTGGATCGTGTATTGCAGCCTATGCTTCTGGAACTAGGAAAGCAAAATCCTCAAACTTTTAAGATCTACACAGGAGCACCATCCAGAGTTTCGTCAATTAGTCAATTAACTTCTAGACGGTTTTGGAGTGATAGTGTATGCAGCTTTCTCTTTACCAAGCTAGAGAAGAAGCATCATACATATAGTAATGGAGTTCGTGGTTCTATAATTGGAAAGTCAATGATATAATCATGGAGTTCGTGGTTCTAAAATTGGAAACTCAATGATAGAGTCATGGAGTTCGTGGCTATGTTGCGCGGACTCTTCAAAATGCTGTCGCACCCATGTCGGATCCTCCAAAAATGCACTACTAATTAGGAACTCAAGGAGAGAGTCGTGGAGTTTTCTAAAATTGGGGACTCAAAGAGAGAGTCATGGGCTTTGTGGTTCTACAATTGAGAAATCAAGGATAGAATCATAGACTTTGTGGTTCTACAATTGAGAATTCAGGGATAGAGTCATGGAGTCCGTGGGTTTACAATTGAGAACTCAGGAGCGTCATGGAGTTCATGGCTCTACAATTGGAAACTTAAGGATCGAGTCATGGAGTCCGTGGTTCTACAATTGAGAACCCAAGGATAGAGTCATGGAGTTTGTGGTTCTACAATTGAGAACTCAAGGATAGAGTCATGGAGTTCGAGCTTCTACAATTGAGAACTCAAATAGAGTCATGGAGCTCGTGGGTCTACAATTAGGAACTCAAGGATAGAGTCATGGAGTTCGTCGTTCTACAATTGAGAACTCAAGAATAAAGTCATGGAGCTTTTAGTTCTGCAGTTGAGAACTCAAGGATAGAATCATGGAGCTCGTGAAAAATATTTAGAAAGTAAGACGAAAACTTATAAGATCAGAAAGTATAATTCTAAACAACGATCTGTTAGGGATATAACTTGTTTTAGCATGTTGTTCTTTGGTTACGTTATTCATCTATGCTGCTAAGAGAATATTCGTTTGTATAGACACAAGTTCAGGTATGAGGGATTAATGTTGGAAACTAAAGGGCAGAAAAGTCCTTTCCAACTTATTTTAATGGAGCACTGACTATTTTGGAATTACATTTCAAACAGTGGCTAAACATTAATTAGCGGTCTAAAAAGTGGCTGGCCCACCTAAATTTTTCGAAGAATAGAACGGATGCCGTTCGTGTCAAGTTTTACATCATCAATAACCGTATTATTGATACTTGTGGTGAAGGCCAAAAGCCCATGATAATATCTTTGGATAAAGAAAGATTTAAGTGAAGTACGACAACCACCCAATCAACCCCTCCCCCACAAAAACAAACACTTCGAATTATAGATGACCATATACTTGAAAAAGTTTGACAGGAAACTATCAAATCAAATTATAGGCACATAAATGGCACTTCTTAAAAGATGTAATTATGCTCAATGAGCTGTATCTTTAGTCGAGCATGTATATATGAGGGTGGGCGTACGCATGCACGGGCATAGAAAATTATATGTGTACTTACCACATGGGCTTCGATTAGGCTCTTTAGCTGCATTTGACCCACCGGAGCAACCACTCTCTGGATCTTAACAATCTCCTTGTTTACCTATAATGAATATTAAGAGTGTTAGAGAATGTACGGAGAAGAATGCAGCTTCAAGAAACCAAATCGAATATGTAATACATTTTGGTAGTGCTGAAAATTATCACTCACGACACCTGAAGATATAGTTGTCAAAATAAGCTTCCTAAAAACGAATAAAAGCTACAGCACTATGAACTTATGATCCAACTTCACCACATGGTCTGCTAAGAAAATTAGTTACTCTTTTCAAATCTTACACTACCGGGCAAGAATCATCTGCTTACTGAGCTTTGATAACTGACAACAACAACTATTCTGTAGCAGACTTCTAATTTATGGATCAAGTCCAGAGAGTGATTTCCTAAAGAATTCTAGTGATCAATGAAGTGGAATGAGAACCATGAGAGACCAACCTACAAATGCCGACGAAGTCAAAACACGCTAGGTGATCTTTTCCCCATCTGTCTAAATATTAATGTGCAAAGTTACCCGACACATGTGCGCTAGTGGAAGATAATAGATAACCGAATACCCGATGAATAGGCAAGTTATGGCAAGTTGTGCCTGTGATGGATACCACCATTATAAATGAAAAAGAACACTACAAATTTCCATTAATTTTCTATGTACATTAATGAGATCATAAATTCAGTATTAGTCTTGGTTTTCTCTTTTGCATGAATTTCAAGGAAATTTTGCAATTTAATATGATTAATTTTTAGAATGTAAAATAACCTATGTAAGATCCAGATAATTCATAAACTTTGTACAAAAGCAAATCGAGAGGCACTTGAAGACATCAATATCATGAACAGATTGTACAAACGTTCACAAAGTTGATTGAAATCAAACCTTAGATATAAGGGTATCATCCTCATCAAGAATGTATGCCAAACCCCCAGTCATACCAGCAGCTACATTTCTACCAACCCTGTTGTAAGCAAGAAAACATAGCTCAAATCCATGTTACGAATCCTACACTGTATGAGTGGAACGTGAACAACAGACAATACTTACTTTCCAAGCACCACAACACACCCTCCTGTCATGTACTCACAACAGTGGTCCCCAGTGCCTTCTACAACAGCTTGAGCAAGAGAATTCCTCACAGCAAAACGCTCCCCTGCTTTACCTCTGACAAATACTTGACCACCTGTCGCTCCATATAAGCAGGTGTTCCCTACTATGGTGGCATCCTCTGGACAAAATCCAGTATTTTCAACAGGAGTTACAACCAATTCTCCTCCAGCCATGCCCTTTGAAATTTGAACCAGTAACTTCTGTTAGTATGGATGGAGTATTGTATTCTTAAAATTCAGATAACGAGCTTACTAAACAGCTCGGCAATATTACTTCGTATATCGGAAAAACCACATGTGGCATGTGTTACCAGAATAACACTCCACCAATTACCAATGGCCTGTTAGGAAAAACCATAACAGAGAGAGTTTCAAATCCACATGGGGCATATCTTATTTGTTCAACAAACCTTTCCTACATAGTCGTTAGCTTCTCCAATAAGTCTGATGTTCATTCCAGGTGTCAGAAAACAAGCAAATGATTGGCCAGCACTCCCAGTAAATCTGCATCGCGAGAAAGACATACTTGTTCATACTGATATATGACTCTAATTATTATAATCGCAAATACGTAAAAGATAATCTTACGTTATGTTCAGCTGCCCAGCAAAACCAGTATCACCATATTTCTTAGCCACAGCACCCGCAATACGACCACATACAGCACGGTCAATATTGTATATTTCAACAGTCTTGTTGACCACCTTCTCATTTTCAATCGCGTCAAATATCTGCATATTAAAAGTTTGTCCGTTGGTCCCTTATAATTTCTTCCGGAATATGGAAATTTCTCGATGGATTTTTCATTTCAATTATTGTGTCACAAACAAAATATTATGAGATATATTTCGTGTTGTGAAAGGCAGGGGCGCGAAGCGAGGCGTTTCACCTGATACGGGCAAGGTGTAAGTCGGGCGTAAGCCCCATGGATCTTTAATTCTAAATATTTTATAAATTAATAAAATTAAAATAAACTATTAGAAAAAGATAAAATTACATAGAAAAAAAAATTTCAAGAAATTATAAAATAAATGGAATGTATATAGAACTGCTTCATCTTAAAACACTAATCAGAATCAGCAACCGACTAAAAGACTAACCAGAATTGCTGCATCTAAAAAATCTATCAGACTTTGAAACAAATTGAACAAAAATTTATAAACTAACTTGAAAGAAAAAAAGAGCTTGAGCGATTTGAACCAGAGCAAGTGATGAAGGATGATGTGTTTTTGCTTTATAGTTTGAAAATTGATCATTTTTCCCTTTATCGGTAGAACATGAAGAGAAAGAACAAAAATTAGGGCTAAGAACGAAAAATCTTTTAATTTTTCACAATTTTTTCTTTTTAGAATTTAATAACAAGATGATTTCTTTTTCTTTTGGTATTAAATTAAGGACTTGTTTAGCAATTCTAATTCTAATTTGAAGAGGTTTTCTGTGCATATGCCCCGAACAAAAAACTCACCAAACGCCTAAGTATACACCCAAAACATTGAGGCTTACGCCTCACGATACTTTTGCCTTTCCAGATTGCCCGAACACATTTTTACTACGCCCCTCCCTAGTGCTCGCCCCGGCACTCGCCCCAAAAACACCTTTTATAACACTGGATATATTTGTTGTCCCAAATCAATTGTAATTACATTTCTCGGTTGATTTATCTACAAAATCCAAAGTAGAAGCTTTTAAACTCTACTCTGCAAAACATTTCTCCGAAACAAGGCAAATGGGAGACGCTGCTCTTTCTGTGCGAAGGACTGGCCCACTTTAATTTTTGTTATTCATTTGGACCTCTTTCCATCGAAGATAAATTTCTCTGAATGGACCACGAGTAAAATATTCATGGACAAGAACAAATTATCATGAGTTATACCCACTCTGTCCCTAATAAACTGTCCTTATTTTTATTTATTAGAGTATCACATCGCCTGAGGGTGTGGGATGTTGTCTCCTTATATGACTTGGGAGAATCCTCACTTTATGAGCTAGCTTTTGGGGTCGAGTTAGGCCTAACGTTCATTTACATTACATGGTATCGGAGGCAGATCCATCCTACCCTATGTCGGGCCCTATAGTATGTTGTCCAAGATCCAAAGTGCAGGTGTGTTAAGAATCCCAAGGGTATGGTTGTTATCTCCCTATATGTCTTTGGAGAATCCTCACCTCATGAGATAGCTTTTGGGATTGAGTTTGGCTCAAGCTTCATTCTCTTAACATGATTTATTGGACATTTTGATTTATGGCTAAAAAAATTTTAGTGACCTTAGTGTTAAAGAGTTGGTAATGTATAGTGTCCCACATCGGGAAGTAGATACTTATTATTATGCAATCACTATATATAAATAACGCATTCTACAACACTTGAGACATAAATAATAAAACTTTTCCCTGCTATACTTCTCACATGGTATCAGAGCACCCGTGAGAAACTTCGGAAAGGTTGGACAGTCGTTGTGCATCAACTTCGGTGACTTTTTCCAGATCTGATTGTGTCACCTCCTTTTTGGTGAGTATTGTGCTAAAACCAACACCACCAACATACTCAGAAGGCTCCGACGACCAAAGCCCTAGAAACCATCCCGGCAGAAGACCAGTCACGCGCGGCCAGAACCTCCTGCGCGGGCAACGCGTCTGTCACACGCGTTGGCGCGTGAACACTTTTCCGGCCTGTTTTTGACGAAACTCCTTTTGGACAGTTGGCTTGCGAGGTGATTCTGAGGCTATCAGTCCAAGTTACACCAAATTCCGATAATTTTTTGTATTTTCCGGCGACTATTTGCAGATTCTGGCAATTGTTCAGTTTCCGACAAGAGACAGTGTTTTTTTCCTCACTGTTCATGTGAGCTTTTTATTGTTCTTGATTGTCTGTGCTATTTGGTCCAACAATGTCTTTAGGGTTTGATGTTTTTTGGTTCTAAAACCCTTCTTGTCTATATTTTCATTATTGTGGTGCTTATGCTTTCCTGAGTCGAGGGTCTATTGGAAACAGTCTCTCTATCCTCACAAGGTAAGGGTAAGGTCTACGTACATACTACCCTCCCCAAACATCATTGTTTGGGATAATACTGGGTATGTTGTTGTTGTTGTTGTTGGTTCTAAAAGCACGGGTTCAGGAAATTCAAGTTTGATGATTACTTCGAAACCCTTAGAGGTCGTTTGGTAGCTGGTTAGAAGAAAGGTTATTCATGTATAAGGGGTAACATAACTTATACCATGTTTGGTAGGCAATAGTTATTTTGTATAAAATTCTGCATAACTAATACCATGTTTGGTTGACATTTTTCAATTATGCATAAATAATACATGTATAAGTTATGAGTCAATCTGTGTATTATTTTATGCGGGGTAGAAGATGGAATAACTAATACATGTATTAGTAATACATGGATAAAATACTGAAATGACAAATTTACCCCTATCACTTTACAAATAAGGCTTCCTTATTTCTCTGTCAACCCGTCAACAGGTTTCACTTGCTTTCACTTGCCAACTATATACCTTGTCTTCTCTCATTTTTAAAGAACAAACTAGCAAAAGCAAACTGGAGAAGCCACTAGAAAATGGAAATACCAAAACTAAGAAGTGAAAATCAAATATATCTAAACTTCACATAGTTCAGTAGTATGACGAAGAAGTGAAAGTAACACCCAAAGTTTCTAACTAAATTGTTTCCTACATAAATGGAAAGAGAAAAAACAATGCAAAAGAAGGCCAGGGGTATAGTTGTAAACAAGCATTTTACTTTAAAATTTATATAATGTATATCAATTTCTAATACAACAAACCAAACATTCAAAAAAATAATCTCTGCATAACTAATACCTGCATAACTAATCCCTGCATTACTTATCCCTGCATAACTAATCCCTGCATAACTAATACATGTATAACTAATACCTGCATAACTCTAACCGGCAACCAAACGACCCCTTAATGGGAAGTTCAAACTACTTAGCCTGGGCTTCTTCTGTTGAGTTGTGGTGCAAGGGTCAAGGTATTCAAGATCACCTAGCCAAGGATACTAGTGATGGAGATGAAAAAGCTAAAGCACTCTTGGGAGAAAGTTGATGCTCAATTATGCAATTTGTTGTGGCGATCGATTCCAAGATAATGCCTTTGTTTCGTCCATTCCAGACATGTTATTCAGTTTGGGAGAGGCTCGTACTTTATACACTAATGACATATCTTATTTTTATGATGTGTCTCGGATGACAAACTTAAAGAAACATGAATTGGATATGTCTACCTACTTAGGACAAGTGCAGACAGTTATGGAGGAACTTGAGAAGTTGATGCAGTCACTACTAGTGTTGAAAAACAACAAGAGCAACGACAGAAGATGTTTCTAGTTCTTACACTTGCTGGACTGCCAATGACCTTGACTCGGTGAGAGACCAAATTTTGGCTAGTCCTTCGGTCCCTACAGTTGATGAACTATTCTCTCGATTGCTTCAACTTGCTACTCCACCCAGTCATACAATGGTCTCACCACCAACTGTTGATTCCTCTATTCTCGCATCTCAGACAATGGAAAATCGGAAATCTCAAGCTATGGAGAATCGACGAGGAAGAGGTCTTTCTGGGAGATCTCGACTCAAGTGTCCTTATTGTATTAAACTTGGACACACACTTGAAGTGTGCTATTACTTACATGGTCGACTACCCAGAAACACTCATGTTGCTCAGAACGAGACTACATGTAATCATGGATTTTCTTTATCTGAAGGGGAATATAATGAGTTACTTCTGTATCGAGCAAGTAAGCAAACATCTCCACAAGTAGTCTCGGTTGCTCGGAGTGATACTCATGTTGCTGGTAATTCTTTTGCTTGCGTTTCTCAGTCTAATACTCTTGGACCGTGGGTCATGGACTCAGTAGCTTCTGATCATATCTCTGGTAATAAATTACTTTCGTCGAATATGGTGTATTCACAATCTCTTCCTACTGTTACCTTAGCGATGGGTTCCAAACTAAAGCAAAAGGAGTGGAACAAGCTAATCCCTCATCTTATGTCACTCTAGATTCCGTTCTTTATGTCCCTGGTTGTCCTTTTACTCTTGCATCTGTTAGTCGTTTGACTCATGTCCTCCATTGTGGTATATATTTTATTGATGATTCTTTTATTACGAAGGACCGCAGTACGGGGAATACGATTGGCACAGGGCGTGAATCACAAGGGTTTTACTATAAATCACTTAATCCCTCTACAAGGGAGGGTCCAATTACAGACCCTCCAGACCTAATTCACAGACGCTTAGGACATCAGAGTTTATCCAAGCTTCAGAAGATGGTGCCTAGTTTGCCTACATTAGATTGTGAGTCGTGTCAACTTGGGAAACATACCCGAGCCACCTTTCCGCATCGTGCTGAGAGTCTTTCAGAGTCTATTTTTTCTATAGTTCATTCTGATATATGGGGTCCTAGTAGAGTTAGTTCAACCTTAGGATTTCGTTATTTTGTTAGTTTCATTGATGATTAGTCAATATGTACTTAGATTTCCTAATGAAAGATCGTTCTGAGTTGTTTTCTATCTTCCAGAATTTTTGTGCTAAAACTAAAAATTAATTTGGTGTTTCTATTCACACTTTTCGTAGTGATAATGCTTTAGAATACTTATCCTCTCAGTTTCAGCAGTTTATGACCTCTCTTATCCATCAACATCTTGTTTGTATACCTCTCAGCAGAATGGGGTAGCTGAGAGAAAGAATAGGCATCTTATTGAAATTGCTCGCACAATTCTCATTCAGTCCAATGTTCCGTTGCGCTTTTTGGGGCAATGTAGTTCTTACAGCTTGTTACTTGATTAATCGAATGCCTTCATCTGCTATCCAGAATCAGATTCCACATTCAGTATTGTTCCCCAAGTCACCCTATACTATTTTTCTCCTCGTGTCTTTGGGAGTACATATTTTGTTCACAACTTAGTTTCCGGAAAAGATCTTCCTTGGTTATTCTCGGGTTCAAAAGGGGTATCGCTGCTACTCACCTGACATTCGTAGGTATCTTATGTCAACCGATGTCACATTTTTTAAGTCTCAACCATACTTTACTTCTTCTAATCATCTTAATATATCTGAAGTCTTACATGTACCTACTTGTGAGGAATCCACATCCACGCACCAACACAACCACTACTACCTAAACAGACTTGTAAGGAGTCTACAGTTGATCCTACATCCCCAGTCACGAGGCCACCACTGTCGACTTATCATCGTCGTCCACGTCTAGCATCAGGCCTAGATGATTCACGTCCTGCATCAGATTCTGCACCTACTGCGGACTTGTCTCTTCCTAGTCCACCAATTGCACTCCGAAAAGGTGTACGATACACACTTAATCCTAATCCTCATCATGTCGGTTTAAGTTACCATCGCGTGGTATCACCTCATACTTTTGTATCATCTTTGTCCACTGTTTTCATCCATAAGTCTTCAGGTGAGGCACTATCTCATCCAGGATGGCGACATGCTATGGTTGATGAAATGTCTGCTTTACATGCGAGTGGCACTTGGGAGCTTGTTCCTCTTCCTTTAGGTGAGGCTACTGTTGGTTGTCGTTAGGTTTATGCAGTCAAAGCCGGCCCCCAGGTTGATCGGCTAAAGGCTCATCTTGTTGCAAAAGCATACACTCAGATATTTGGGCTTGATTTTGGTGACACTTTCTCTCCCGTAGCTAAAGTAGCATCTGTTCGCCTCTTTTGGTCCATGACTGATGTTCGTCATTGGCCTCTTTCAGTTAGACATTAAGAATGATTTTCTACACAGTGATCTTGAGGAAGAAGTTTATATGGAGCAACCACCTGGTTTTGTTGCTCAGGGGGAGTCTAGTGGTCTTGTATGTTGATTGCGCAGGTCACTCTACGATATGAAATAGTCTCCTCGAGCTTGGTTTGGTAAGTTCAGCACAATTATTCAGGAGTTCGGCATGACTCGTAGTGAAGCTGATCATTCTGTGTTTTATGGGCATTCTGCTCCTAATATATGTATTTATCGGGTGGTTTATGTTGATGATATTGTTATTACTGGCAATTATAAGGATGGTATTACTAATCAGAAGAGCATCTCTTTCAGCACTTTCAGACTGAGGATCTGGGTAGATTGAAGTATTTTCTAGGTATTGAGGTCGCTCAATCTAGCTCAGATATTGTTATTTCACAGCGGAAGTATGCCTTAGACATTCTTGAGAAGACATGAATGATGGGCTGCAAACCTGACACTCCTATGGATCCGAATGCTAAACTTCTAGTAGGAGATAATTTGGTCTCTTGGAAGAGCAAGAAACAGAATGTAATTGCTCGATCTAGTGCTGAAGTAGAATATCGGGCCATGGCTATGGCAACGTGTGAGCTAGTTTGTGTCAAGTAGTTGCTCAAGGAGTTGAAGTTCGGAGAAATTAGCAAGATGGAACTAGTGTGTGATAGTCAAGCTGCTTTTCATACTGCGACAAATCCGGTGTTCCATGAGAGGACTAAACTCGTTGAGATCGACTGTCACTTTGTTAGAGAAAAGAGACTCTCAGAAGATATGGTTACAAAGTTTGTTAAGTCGAATAATCGGCTTGCAAATATTTTCACTAAGTCTCTTACTAGTTCTCATATTAGTTACATCTGTAACAAGCTCGGCACATATGATTTATATGCACCGGCTTGAGAGGGAATATTAAATAGTTAGTAATGCATAGTGTCCCACATCTGGAAGTAGATACCTATTATTATGTAATCACTGTATATAAATAGGGAATTGTACCACACTTTAGACATAATTAATAAAACTTTTCCGTGCTATACTTCTCACACTTACCTTTGGGTCTGCAAGCAAAACATCATCCAGAACAGGACCGTTACTATGAACTTCCTGGTTCCTTATCATACTGCTGCTCCACTCAGGCAATCCAACATTCTACAAGCATAATGCAATGACTTGATTCTTTCCGCCAAATAAAAAAGGAAGAAAGTAATATATGAACTATAACTAACTTGTCAATTGATTGATAGATCAACCATCTTTCAAAATACTTACAGAGAGGATGTAACTAAGATCAAGATGTCGAGTTTTCATTAATGATATATCTCGGGGTCTAAGTATATCTGTGCGTCCAATTATGTCATCCAGTTTCTCGTAACCTAGTTGAGCCAACATGCCCCTTACCTGGCCAATGATAGTAGAAAAAGAAATTAGCAAATACAAATAAAGGCGGGCCTAGCTGATGAGCTCAAACTAAAATTTTGCAGCAAATGAAAATGCCCATGACAGATAAATAGCTGGTTCTAATTTCTAAAATCATCAAATAAAGGGTGTATTCTAAAATAGCGAGAGTAATGTATTTTCATTTATAATTTTGGTGTAAAGAGAAAATACACATATGTATTGGTAGCTCGGCTAACTTGATTTATGGTTGAACCATGTATTTGATAAAAAGAAAAAGAACCATTTCAACATATAATTAACCCTTTACTGTCCATTCTATTGTTTCTTCCCCAAGTTATCCAACACACATATAGGAGAAGAGGACTAAACGCCAGCAACCAAAAATTAGACGTACTGTTCCCCTCTAATTTCCAAGCTAGCACTCCCTATGGCTAAAAAATTCCTTCAGAATTTCAAGCGATCTAGAATCAAATGTTCACAAAGTACTTTTCCACAAATGGAAGGTTATGAATCTCAAGCAATTTCAATTCAAAAATTCACAAGCTAAATTTTGTAGACCAACTTAAACTAAATACTATTTGCAATGTATGTAACGAGATGATATCTCTTTATCCCACAAGCGACAACATCAGAATCCCTTTGCACTATACTTAAATTCAATTCATCACCCATGAGTAGAATCTTACACCCAAAAGACCTATAGTAAAATGATCAGGGTAACCATAACCTTTTGCAGAAAAAATTTACTCAGGAAGCAAAAAAGGAAATAAACAAACTATTCTTTTCCAAAAAATACAAAAGATCAAACAGAAAATAGAATTTCTTCAACCACATTATACATGTGAGCATAAGGTTACCTCTTCGGCAACATACAAAAAGTAGTTAACAAGGTCTCCTGGAACCCCTGGAAACCGAGCTCGTAATTCCTCTCTCTGAAAGTTTTGAGAAACAAAATTATACAGAAATTCATCAATTATCAATAAGCATGATAAAGATGATCGAAAATGAGACATAGGCTACCTGACTGGCAACACCAACTGGACAATTATTTGTATGGCATATGCGGGCCATCACACAGCCCGTGGCTATCATTGCTACTGAACCAAATCCATACTCGTCTGCACCCATTGCTGCAGCCATCATGACATCAAATCCACTTTTAAATCCACCATCAACTCTAAGAACAACCCTTTCTCTTAACCCATTTTCTATGAGTGTCTGCACAGATCCGTTCAATGAAAAAACATAAATAGAATTAGAAATAATTGAAGTATAAAAGGCAAGTTACTTCCATGTAATGAGAAGAACTATTAGATAGACACTGGAAATGGTTCAATTCTGCAGTAAATAACCTGGTGCGTCTCTGTAAGTCCAAGCTCCCAGGGACCGCCAGCATGCTTAATTGAACTTACTGGGCTTGCTCCAGTTCCCCCATCATGACCTGATATCTGCAAATGATACAACCGCTCAAAAGACTTGATTTACTATGTCTAATTTTCCAAGTAAAAAATCTAGCACAAGCTTTCCATGTGTTTAAGAGTCCGCATTGGATGAGGGACCCTGCTAGATAGTTATGTAAATAACATGAATTAGTCCTAGTCCCCATAAAATAGCAGTAAGATATGTATTGTATAAATAGGGCTCATTGTATTATAGTTGAATAGAATATCAATAATATATTTTCTCCCGTGCTTTCTCACATGGTATCAGAGCATCGGTGAGAAAACTGTTGTGTGTCATTCCAGTGACATCCGAGAAGAAAGAACTCAATCACGTGCAATTTTCGGGTGACCTAAGTGATTGTTTGCATCAAAGTCACTATTTATCATTGTACAAACCAACACCACCACAAGGTCCGCCGTAGTCCCCGACCATACCCCATAAAACCCCACCGAAAAAATTCTACCCATGCGCCCTCACGTGCCGGACAGACAAGAAATTTTCCGGCGAGATCTGTGTACGCATTGGGTGCGTGAGACCTCTTCCACTACAAATTCCGACAACTTTGGAATTTTTCGGCAAGCTACTGTGTTTTCCAACATGAGCAGTGATTTCCCGCATGAACAGAGTTTTTTTTTCCCAGTTGTGAATAGTTTTCTCATATATTTCTTCAGATTTCCACTATTTCAAGTGAAGAACTTGATTACCAACTCTATCTAACTAAGAAAAAAAAATCTCCAGCTTAACTTGTTCTGATTTGGCATTTCAAGGTTAACCATACAATTTTTAGTCAAGAATTTGAGAAATTGGTTGTCGCAAAGCGGGGTCCAATACTATCAATAGTTGGATGGTTTCTCTACTGGATTATATTGAGTTTCTTCAGTAAAAAGCATGTAAACAGACAACTTCAGAGAAAGCTTCCGCTGTTCAAACAGGTAATAGCGTGCGTGACTTGTGTCTCCCAATATTCATCCTCTAGTTCTTGGGTCATTGATTCAGGTGCATCTGATCATATTTCTGGTAACAATCTCTTTTCACTACTATTTCATATTCTTAATCTCTTCCAACAGTCACAATGGCCAACGGGTCTCAAACGAGGGCAATTGGAATTGGTCAAGCAAGTCAACTTCCTTCTTTACCTTAGATTCAGTTCCTTATGCTCCATGTATTCCTTTTAATCTTATAGCAGTTAGTCGCTTAGCCAAATAACTTAAATGCTCTATATTTGGTACCGGGCGTGAATCAAATGGACTTTATTACCTTATCCTTGCTAAATCACATGGACTCACATCTTGTCTTGTTACTAATTCACCAGATTTGTTACATAAACAGTTGGGACATCCCAGTTTGTCAAAACTTTAGAAAATGGTATCTGGTATCTGGCTTATCTCATTTGTCCACTCTAGAGTGTGAGTCATGTCAGCTCGATAAGCATACCCGTTCCCATTTCCCTCGGCGTCCTGATAATCGAGCAGAGTCACCTTTCACTTTAGTCCATTCAGATATATGGGGTCCTAGTCGGGTCAGATCTACCTTGGGATTCCGCTACTTTTTCAGTTTCATTGATGAATATTCCCGGTGCACTTGAATATTTTTGATGAAAAATCGATCTGAGTTGTATTTATTTTCAAACCTTCCACAATGAAATTCAAAATCAATTTGGGGTTTTTATCCTCACGTTTTGTAGTGATAATGTCCTAGAGTATTTGTCTTCCCCATTTTAGTATTTTATGAACTCTCATGAAATTATTCATCAAACATCTTGTCCGTACACATCTCAATAAAATGGGGTAGCTGAAAGAAAGAATAGACTAGGGGTGTGCATTCGAATCGGTTTATCGATAAATCGAATCGATTATTTATTATCGAAATCGAAATCGAAAAAATCGAAACCTATTGAAACGATAACGATAAGCATATGTACAAATCGATAATCGATAAGTAATTATCGATAAGGGTCAAAATCGAATCGATAAATCGAATGCACACCCCTAGACTGTAGACACTTGTTAAATGAGTAATTACCTATTTGTGTAGATTAATATAACATACAGAATGTATATATATTCCGCTACTATTTTGAAAGCGGCTATACAATATTATTTTCCCTAATCTATACCCTTTCCTTTACCCTAAGTCTCTTACCCTATTATTTCCTCTACCACATTTAAGGAATGATCATATTTAAGAATCAAGGGAATGAAGTTCAAATTAATGGAAAACAGAATTAGCCGTGATGATGTGTTCTGTTTTGTTTTGTTTTTTTCATACTGTTGGAGTGTTGGTGGCATACATTTGATCCCTTACTTTAGTTTTGTTGCATGTGCTTGTTGACACAATTTTTATATTATAAATGGTGTTCGTCTTATTTTAGCTTCTTTTTGTCCGTATTAGTTAGGCGCGTTTATAGCGATATACTTTCCGTGGAATCCCGCGAATTTTCTTATTGGTGTAATCGATAACCAAATCGATAAGCCCCCAAAATCGATAAATCGAAATCGAAAAAATTGAAACCATATTGAAACGATAACGATAAGCATATGTACAAATCGATAATCGATAAGTAATTATCGATAAGGGTCAAAATCGAATCGATAAATCGAATGCACACCCCTAGAATAGACATCTCATTGAAACTGCTCGTACCCTACTCATACAATCTCATCTTCCATTGCGTTTTGGGGGATGCAGTTCTCACATCTTATTATCTTATTAATCGTATGTCATCCTCAGCTATCCAGAATCAAGTTTCATTCTCTGTCTTGTTTCCCTACTCACCTTTGATCTTTTTTCCACCCGTTTCTTTGGGAGCACGTGTTTTTTTTCATAACCTTACTCCAGGAAAAGATAAGTTAGCTCCGCGTAATCTTAAGTGCGTAGTTTTTGGTTACTCGAGAACGCAAAAAGGATATCGATGATTTTCACCTGACCTCCAGCAGTACCCTATGTCTGCTGATGTTACCTTATTTGAAACCCACTCACACTTCATAGGTCCGGGTGATCACTTAGATATTTCTGAGGTGCTACCAGTTCCATCTTTTGGAGATTCAATCACTATCTCTAATTCATCTTCCTCCACAACTCCACTCCACCACCTACAGCTCTAGTTTCAGCTCCACCACCTATAGCTCCAGTTCTATCACCTAGTCCAGTACAACTTTCTACCGCTCCACCACTCCTGACTTATCATCGTTGTCTGTACCCAGCATCCGGTCCAACTGATTCACGTCATGCACCTAACTCTGCTCTTACGACAACTTGTCTCCTCCTAGTCCACTGGTTGCACTTCAAAAAGGTATACGGTCCACACTTAATCCTAATCCCCATTATGTCGGTTTAAGTCATCATCGTCTTCACCCCATTATGCGTTTGTATCATCTTTGTCCTTTATTTCCATCCCCAAGTCTACGGGTGAAGGACTATCTCATCCAGGATGGCGACTGGCTATGATTGACAAGATGTTTGCTTTACATACGAATGATGGTTGTCGTTGGGTGTATGCAGTCAAAGTTGGTCCAGATGGCCAGGTTGATCGACTTAAGGCTCGTCTTGTTTCCAAAGTGTATACTCAGATATTTGGGCTTCATTACAGTGATACTTTCAGTACAATGGCTAAAATAGCATCAGTGTCTTTTTCTATCCATGGTTGTTATTTACCATTGGCCTCTCTATCAGTTGGACATTAAGAATGTTTTTCTTCACGGTGACCTTGAGGATGAGGTTTATATGGAGCAACCACCTGGTTTTGTGCTCAAGGGGAGTCTAGTGGCCTTTTATGTCGGTTGCGCCGGTCCCTCTATGGTCTAAAGCAGTCTCCTCGAGCCTGGGTTGGTAAGTACAGCACATTTATTCAGGAGTTTGGCATGACTCGTAATGAAGTTGATCACTCTCTGTTTTATCTGCATTCTGCTTCAATTCTCTGTATTTATTTGGTGATTTATGTTGACGATATCGTTATTACCGGCAATGATCAAGATGGTATTACTATGATGAAGAACCATCTCTTTCAGCACTTTCAAACTAAGGGTCTGAGAAAATTAAAGTATTTTCTAGGTATTGAGGTCGCTCAGTCTAGCTCAGGTATTGTGATTTCACAACAAAAGTATGCATTGGACATTCTTGAGCAGACAGGAATGATAGGTTGTAGATCTATTAACACTCCTATGGATCCGAATTCTAAACTCCTACGGGACAGGGGGAGCCGCTTCGCTATCCTACGAGACAGAGGCGGTTGATTAGTAAATTAATTACCTCACAGTGACTAGACCTGACATTTCCTTTACTGTGAGTGTTGTGAGTCAGTTTATGGATTCTCCCTGTGATAGTCATTGGGATGCAGTTGTCTGCATTTTTCGGTATATAAAAATAGCTCCATGAAAAGGATTATTGCTTGAGGATCGAGGCCATGAGAAGATTGTTGGATACTCAGATGATGATTGGGCAGGATCACCTTCTGATAGACGTTCTATGTCTAGATATTGTGTTTTAGTAGGAGGTAATTTGATATCTTGGAAGAGCAAGAAACATAATATGGTTGCTCGGTCTAGTGCATTAAATACTATGAATAAGTCCTAGTCCCACATAGAATAAGAGTAGGATATATACTGTATAAATAGGGTTCATTATATCAATAATCTATTTTTCTCCTGTGCTATCTCACAAACCCATTATATGGTCTTGAGTTGGGCAATCCTCACTTCATGAGCTAGCTTTTAGGTTGAATTAGACCCAAGATCCATTTTATTAACAAGGGAGCAGAGCCAAACCCATCCCAATTCCTAGTTATGTCGGGTTCCGATGTTATGTTGTCCACGTTAAAAATGTTCAATCTTGGGCGTTGCGGGGAATTGGGGTATTAATTGTACATGTTGGTTGAGGGAATGGATTATTGTCTCCTTATATGGTCTTGGACAATCCTCACCTAATGAGGTACCTTTTGAGGTTGAGTTAAAGCCAAGGTCCATTTTCTTTAATACAACAACAACAAACCCAGTACATTTCAACATGTGGGGTCTGGATTCTTCATGAAAACCCATGCAACAAAAAAATTATAATTACATTTTAGATTTATAAAAAAAAAAAACTCAGACATTTTAAGAGGACAAAGATGCACTCCATGCGACCAAATTGATGAGATCTAGAAAAATTGACACGAGAAGATTAATACGGTTTAGACAAGTATAATGAATATTTAAAGAAAATCAAAACATTAAGTTGAGATAATAACGTTTATAACCATCTTTGACATTTCAAGATAAGTCATCACATAAAGCCAAAACACCCACACACGCACATACACACCCACACACACCCACACACAAAAAAAATATCTCTAGACAATAAATATGCCTTCAAGTACAGCAACTACTACCATGTTTTAACTCCAAACTAGTTGAAGCAAGCTATATAAATCATCTATAATTGATAAGAGCTCCATTTTGGGCCTGTTTGTTTCACTACTCAATTTTATAATGACAGGGACTCGCAAATCTCACACTTATCCCTATGCTGTCATTCAATCTCTAACCAAACTAAAGGACTCATTGTCAAAAGTCAGACCTAAAATAAATATACCAATAACATTAAACCTTAATACAAACGAGTTGGTATAGCTTATGTGGATACTTTGTTTCCATTGTGTTCTGTTCATAATTAAGTCCGCATAAATTATGAGAGATTGTAAATCTTTTGAGATAATTTCTCACAATGCGATTTTAGATCTAAATCGTCCTCTTTAGCACCTTCAATCATCATAATGTCGCACCTATAGAGCATTACATTTGAGGTCTAATATTGTCTAATCTTATACACAACCATCCTTCTTAACATCATCCTTCTACAACACTAATCTTGCGAATATGTTAGGCTTTAAAAGTCCAATATTCTCCTCCATCTAACATTTATGGTCTCACAACAGCTCTATAAAACTTGCCTTTCACTGAAGGTATTCTCCTATCACATAACACTCCCGTAGCACCTTTTCAGCCATCTCACTCTAATTCTATGTGTTACATCTTCATCTATCATGACATTCTCCTGAAAAACTGCGCATTAATATCTAAATTCTCTACAAGAAGCTCCAATGAACATGTAACAAAGGTATAAACTTCTCCTCCCCCCACCATCCCACTCCCACTCCCATACAAGGGAAGCTCTTCACCAAATACATCACAAAAGACCGGCAACTGTTAAACACTAGAGCAAATATGAGCGTTTTTTTAATACAGAACAAATATGAACTTGTGAGGCATGACTTGCCAAGACTATACAAATGATTTTACTTTGGTGTAGTAAGCAATTATTCAGACCTAATTCACCATCATAGGAGAAACCATTAATTCAATTCTGTAGCTTAGATACAAATTGATGGTATATGAAAATGTCTTGTCATGTTTCATCTAGTATCTCCACCTGATGTGTCAAAATTACAAAATCAATTGCCAAGGAGATGTTCATATTCAATTTTGAACCCAACACTGAATCATTCCTTGTTTCCATTTCAGACCTAATAACTTTAAAGGTAAATTAGCTTTAGGATAACAAATATCTTAACAATTATAATTTTAAAAGATGACTCCCACCTTTCCCTCCAATCTATACAAATAGATAATTTAACTCTTATTTAACAACAATGCCAGAGCCAAACAGCTTAATTCAATTTGACATAAAAAGGATGTGAGTCAACCAACTGTTACATCCCAAAAAATGGAGATGTATCAATCACAAGGCCACATCAAAAATGCTGACTACAACATTTGAAAGTCAACAAGTTTTCACTTCATGTTGGATTCAGTTCTCAACAAAATTCAGCGACTGCAAAAGACTGTCACTTTTCTATTGGAAATGCCTTTGATATGGGATAGGTCACTTGGACCAATCAACTGAACATTATGATGATCTTTTGGATTTAATCATGAAAAAAGTAAAAAATAATGGTCTTTTGGATTTCAACTCCTAGAAGAATTGCAAGTTGTTTTAACTTTGGAGGGAAAGGAACATGGGAGCCTCTGAAGGTGTGAAAATGATGATGAGCAGATGAAGACCTGTCTTTTGTTGCTAGTTGATTTATGGTACAAACATGGGTTACACTTTGAAGAAGAGCATGTTTTCGTATAAGTCTAGTTTTGTGTACCACTTATCTACTGGGAATTCCTCCACCGCATTAATAAACTATTACTTCATAAAAAAGAAAAAGAAAATTGCAAGTGGTTCACCATAACAGCCAGCTGCAAAATATCAGCTAACTAGGCTAGCTAGCACACACACACACACACTCTCTCTCTCTCTCTCCTTTTGATTTCAGCTCAATCTCTGATCAGGTCAAAGCACAAAGAACGCATATAAAAGCCACAAATATGAAAGATTACCTGTATAATATCAGCATTTCCCTTTGCCACCCCAGAAGCCACAGTACCAATACCAGCTTCTGCCACAAGCTTTACAGATACCTTTGCTCTTGGGTTGACCTGGTCATGAGTGAAAATGAAAATCAACAAATAAGCTTTACAGACACCTTAGCTTTTGGGTTGATACTGCTCATGAATGAAAATCACAATTAAAAGGAACAAATAAGCACGTCTTTCACCTGATGAAGGTCATAAATCAACTGAGCAAGATCCTCAATAGAATAAATATCATGGTGTGGTGGTGGAGATATAAGAGGAACTCCAGGTTTTGAATTCCTTAATCTCGCAATGTAAGCGCTAACTTTTTTACCAGGCAATTGGCCACCTTCACCTGGCTTTGCACCTTGAGCAATTTTGATTTCTAACTGGTCAGCATTGGCTAAAAATGTAGGAGTGACACCAAAGCGTCCTGAAGCAACCTGAAAAAGTAGTAAGGAAGTCAAGTGGGTTCCCCACTAGTCATCAGGAAAACAACCTACCAATAAAAAGGACCAACAATCACATCAAGAGATATGAAGAGCAAACTCATAGTGCATATACCTGCTTAATTGCGCTTGTGGCAGTATCTCCATTTTGAAGACCTTTAAGGTGTGGGAGTGTTGGAGAATATCCATCAACGACATCAGTAAGTGGTTTCCAGCGAATTGGATCCTGTTTGAAGTTAACAGATCAAACAACATCATTTGTGTAGCATACTCTGTAATAAAGAAACTATGCCAATAGCAAAGCAAATGAAATATGGATAGTGCTCAACAGGACACTAGTATAACTTACCTCACCACCTTCTCCTGAGTTCGATTTTCCACCCAATCTATTCATTGCAATTGCAATAGCTTCATGAGTTTCCCTCGAAATAGCTCCAAGAGACATGCCACCAGTGCAAAACCGCTGCACTATTGCTGAAGCAGGTTCAACCCTTCCAACTGGTATAGGTGAACGATCACTTTTGAATTCAAGAAGATCTCTAAGAACCTGCAGTAAATAGATATCATCAGAAAAGATGATTTATTTTGGCGTATTTCACATTTTCTTTCATTTTTAATAGATTGAACAACACGGGATATTACTAGAATGTCCATGAAAGCAATTACTATTAATGCATCTTATGCATCCGCTCTTTCAGGAGTGATATTTGAGTGCGCATATGCATCAAGAGAGGGAGAATACATAAAGACCCCCCTAAACCAGTCCCTGATTTTCAAAAAGGCACTTAAACTTTGCGGGGGTCCTACTACTCTACTATCTTTGTCCGAAATGTATCCTTTACCCTCTTCCACTGCAAAGACCACTATAAAAGTAGCGTGACACGCGCTACCATGTGTCAAAATGTTTAAGAAAAAGAAAAAGTAAATTTCCTTCTTCATATTACCCACCCAACTTCCCCACCCCTTCTCCTTCTTCCCCAACAAAACCCAGCGGCCTTCTTCCCTAAACCAAACCGAGCAGGGCTCCAAAGTGAGGGTCTCTTTTGACCAATCCTGATTTTTAAAAATCTTTTTCTGTCCTTTTTATTAAGATTAATTGAATTGATATCCACAAAATGAAAAAGAGCAGGAGAATAACCGGTTTTAGGATGGTTGTCTTTAAGGAAAATGAAAGAGAGTCGTAGAGCCAAGTAGCAGATGATGTGTACTCATGAATGTTTTCATGAATTTCTCTGAGAATAACATCTTTATTGAACGATGTTGAAGATGAGAGACCCATTTCTGGTATAACACTATAATGTATTATATTCTCCTTCTTGCCCAAACAAACCCAGAGCTAACCAAAGGGACTAATTGGGTGCAGTCACCCCCAGCGAATGAACATCATAAGGTTGGATTCTTCAGTACTCCCCACCTGGTTGTGCTAATTTCTTTTATCTAGTTGTGCTTAATTTTTTTTATCTGGTGTGGTTTTTAATCTGGTTGAGTCTGGATTTAAATGGAGTTTTGACGCTGAAGGTTGGTGATTAAAATGGTGGTGACGGGTGTTGTGGCTTGTTAAAATGGTGGCGATGGGTGTTGCGGCTGAGTGGTTGGCCAGATCAGATTTGCATTTGAACCAATTTTTGGCTTTTCGCTGAACATTTTCCAGTCACCAACAAATTTTCCGTTGGGATAAGAAGAAAAAGTATAGAAAGAAAAGGTAAAGAGAAATGAAAATAAATGAAGTAAAAAAAAGTTTAATAAGAAAATGCTGTAAAAATAATTTTTCTACTTTTTCTTTGACCTCATGCAGATGGTGCAAACACTATAGATGCCACGTGGGCTTGAAAGGTGTTATTTGTACCACTTGGAACAACTATATGGGGGTCATAGGACCCTTGTAGAGTTTAACTGTCTTTTAATCAGGAACTAGTTTAAGAAGGTCTTTATGTATTTTTCCCCATCAAGAGATGCATATACTCAGTAGTAGTAAACTACAGGATGAAATCAGATCTCCAGATGATAAGAAATGGAAAAATGTCCAATCACAAGAAACAGAAACAAGTAAAACAACTCACATTTACAGGTCGATTAGCCAAATGCTGCTGATAAACTGAATATGCACTTCCACTCTTTTGGCGAACAGCTTTATGGAGCAGTTTTGACATCTCTGGGTTGTTTCCATGATATTCACCTTTTAATTAAAGGGAAGAGAGACAAAATGAAAACCAAACGAAGATAAGAGTATTACCTACATAAAGAGATGATGCAAGGAATACGGACTAATAGCCGTCAAGACTTCATCTTGAAACAAAGATACCACTACTTTTCATTTCCCAATGCAAAATGGTTAAAGGAGTATCTTTTGATTCACAAAATACAGCTAGCAATCACATCCATATTTCACGAAAGCACCAGATTGCGACACTTAATGATTTAAGGTTAGTGCACCACATTGATTTTTGCTTCATCTGATACAAAAGTTTATAATATATGCTTCTAAGGAAGCAGGTTTTTTGGAGGAACTTGAAACTACAGGACGAGACAGCAGGTAGACGCGATGCTGTTATTTCTTGGATCCTTCGTTCTCTCAAAATAGACTCCATAAAAATGCGCACAGAGGGGGGCGGAATAGAATCAAAGCTGCCTTCACTGAAGTCCGGCAAAGTTACCAGTTATTCTCTGGTCAGGCATCGAAAGGTGATGGGTGACAGAAGCTAATCACCATTTTCTAGGTTACTTCTCTTATCCTTTCAAATGTTCGTTTAAAAGTAACTTAGTCAATATGGAAGAAAAATAAGTTACATTTAATACATCAGATTAATATTGCTCAAATCTTGCAATCGAGCATGAAATGGACAACGTGATCCACATCAAGATTTGGCAAGTCTTTATTCTTCATTCTAATATTTCTAAACTTATAGTGTACAGATGGCCAGTCGAACATCTTATTTAGACAAACATTTAATGTTCTCAGAAGTTAGCATTTGCATATTAATACAGGGTTCTTTTGTTCAAGCAGTTTTCCTTCTTAGTCAAATTTGATGCTACAGAATCGAAATTCCAAGTGTGTGTGTGTGTGTGTGGTGGGGGGGGGGTAGGGGGGGG